CATATCTGTGGACATGCAGACAGCTAGTTTCTTCCTTACATATTTTAAAATTATTAGATATCATTCACTAATTACCTTCAATGGATTTAATAGTGGGATTTCAACAAATGATCCTACTCTGTGTGTACTGTGCACTAGAAGTATCAGACAGACGCACTGCAGATTTCTCATGCCGGAGGGTTAACAACCTTGCCTGCAGGCTTTTTTGCAACATACAGTATAGGTCTCTTTTAAGGCAAGACAAAGTTTATACACAGAGGTGACATTTGTTACAGTATAGGTGGGAAAGATGGATAAACCCTGCTTTGTATAGGGCTTATCCTACAAATGGGCTAGCCTTGCATAACACAAAATATCATCACAGGACTGTTTATAAAACCCAGCTACTGATACGGTTTGCAATTTAATCTACAAAGTGCATTCAAATGAAAGTAATTCATTGATGTCTTTGCCATGCCTGAATTTACTCATCTGTTCATATGACACCACAGAAATATGAGTTATATTTGGCAACGCAGCTGTCCGTGCCTGGGAAAGGCAATTAATCTGCCAACAGACCCTGCTCTCAGGTTAAGGTGTTCAACAGGCCACGAAAGTGGACAATCTTTATTCGCTCTGATATTTTCAGTTTAATTTGAAGTTTAGCTGATGAAGCCTTTTTATGGTGTTTCATTTCATTGCGTGTCTTCCTTTATCTGCATGTTGCAACTTGTAGAATGTTCATGCTGTCTGAGGTTTTCTGATAGAGGACCTTCTCTTCACTGTGGCCTGTGAAGTATTTTGTCTCTCACACAATGGTAAACCCTCTTTTCTCTTTGGGTATTGCTGTTACTCCTGTTCATTTAAACTAGTACTTTCTCTTGTAATTCTTTTTTGTCTTTTGAACTAAATTGCTTTGGGTTTCTTTGCTTTACATACACTGGGGGAACCAATATCATTATTTGGAATTCCTTTAAAATAGAAATACTCTTTTCTTTTTTTTTTTTTCTGAACAATTTTTTTCAACCTTTAGCTGAACAGTCAACACAATCTTGTTAACCGGAGCTGTTAATATAAGTCTCAGGTTTTACAGTGGCTTTTTTTTCACCTTTCCCCATGCAAAGCTGATGTAGGTACAGAAGACAGACATTTCTTTGTCAAAGCTGCTGGTTTCACCAGCAGTTCTTATGTACGTGAAAGTGCATGGACCACTTTAGGCATGATACCAGTGTTGCCAAGAACTGTTTCCTCAGCTTTTTCTTTTAACATATGCCTCTTCTTGAAAGCCAAATTTCAGTTTACTGCTTTGGTTTGGCTTTGAGGGCTGAGCATTGTGCTACAGTCCTTGAGGAGGCAGAACATGAACATAGTAAAGAAGCAGGTGTCTTCCTTGGGATTATTTACCTTTGGTGACAGTGGTTCCAAAATTGCTTAAGACCACAGACACCTTCCTGCAATTGCAGTGACCAGTGAGCACTCTGTTATTCATAGAATCCTAGAATCATAGAAAGTTTTGGGTCGGAAGGGACCCCTAGAGGTCATCTAGTCCAACCCCCCCGCAGCGAGCAGGGACACCGCTAACTAGATCAGGTTGCTCAGAGCCCTGTCCAACCTGGTCTTGAATGTTTCCAGGGATGGGGCCTCCACTACCTCTCTGGGCAACCCGTTCCAGTGTTTCACCACCCTCATTGTAAAGAATTTCTTCTTTATATCTAGCCTAAACCTACCCTGTTTTAGTTTAAAACCGTTACCCCTCATCCTGTTATTGGACTATCGGTAGTCGTCTACAAAGCTCAACAGAAACTGAAAAGAAGTCAGAGTAAAATAGACCAGAATTGGGTTAAGGTGATTAAAACAGCACAGTTCAGCACCTTGCTGTCTTGTCATGGGGAAATATGTTTTCTATAATGGTTATAAACTTGGAGGAGTAGGACACCACATTTTTCTGTCATCTTTGCCAGGCAATGTAGTGAAGACTTTATAGGAAACTTTGCAGAATAAGCTTTGCTGTGATTGGAATTTATCAATATTTATGATAGCCCATATTAATTTCATCTTTTGTGTCAGTCAGTTCAACTCAGAAGGATATATTTTAAACTGCTGGTGGAAAGGAACCTGCAAAGGAAATACAGTGGAGAATTAAATCTTCAAGAAAATAAAGAAATAGGCATAATGACACTTTCAGGCAAAGTAGAAGTACTCCCATGGCATCCATTTCTGACTGACCTGGTGTCTTGCTCCATTTCAATACGATAATACCTGGAAAGGAAATCCAGTGCATCAGCATGTGTAACTTTCATCACTGTGACTTGAAGTTCATCACCTCTTTAGAGGTTACAGTTAATCTAGAATTAAGCTAATTTTCCCAAGTGTTCTTCGGAACAAAATAAAATTTTAGAATAATGTTACAGTTTTAATTTTGCATTAGAAATAAATAAGTTTCAAACACCTTCTATGGAACAGCCAAAAGATGTGCTGCCTTTCAAAGTCAGAGTAAACATATGTAATTATTCATTTTCAAGCAGGATGAACCAAAATTAATTGCTATCGTTTAGGGTAGAAATCCACTCTGCTTGGAGGATTATAAGAAATGAGATGTAGGCACTTCAGCAATATCAACCATTTACTGCGATGTGGCTTAATTTAAATTCTTTGTGATCAACAGTTAGGTACAATCATTCACTTAGGTTTTATACCAGCTTAATGTGGGGACTAGTCACTGAAGGTATCAGATTGTACAGTTTGTCTCTTCATCTGCCAGGTGTGCAGTGACCTCAGACATGTATGAAGCATTATCATAAGAAGAAATATCTTTCCTGTGGTTAAAATCATGGCTGCCATTTCACTGAAGCCATCACCTTGTAAGGCAAAGATGTTGCATGCCTTTTTCAGCAATTATATTTTTATTAGACCAGCTAGCCTTGTTGGAAGATGTAGCCAGTCTTTCAGACACACAATCTCTCTTTCAGGTCTGAAAAAGCACCTAAAAGCCTTCAAGCTGAGTACAAGTTCAGACCACTTGTTCTGGGCTTTGTGAGAGAGGAAGAAGCTGAAGCACCAACAGCCTGAGCTGAAGGGCCGTTAGCCCTTAGGGAGCAAAGTGGGCATTAGGGTGTCAGAGAGCTGGTAAGCGGTTCCTGGGGGACTGAGAAGCAGGTGTTCTATAGCTTGTGGACAGTAAATTGGTTAGTAGAAGGAAGAAGACAATAGTGAATAGAATCTCCGTTGAATCGCTGAGTTTGATGGCCCCGTAGATCTATGAATTTTAGTTTTACATGCTGATCTTCAAAGCACACTTTGCATGTGTTTGTTAAGACTTCTTTCTGGTTTTAGTTTGCAGCAGCCTGGATGACAACAGGCAGCTTGGGATGAGTCATGTTTTCCAGCAAATGCCCAGGACACTATTGCTTTGAACACTGGTATTTTGCATGAGTTATTTACTGAAGAAGATGGGAGTGAGAGGACAGATGATAGGGGGCATTTCTGGAGAATGATCTGTATGGTTTTTATTACTTGGTAGTTACACAACCACTTTTTTATCAGTATTTCCATCTCTGACTGATAATCTGCTAAATCTCTTGGTTTGTGTGAGTATGTGTTCATTCCTTCTCCATATGACATTTATATAACACTTCCCCCCAGCAGATACTGGCTGCCTCCCGACTGTTTTCCTAACTTCCTAACTAAAAACTGTGGTTTTTAAAAGCTGTTAAATTTTATTCCATGGGAGACTGTGCCTGATTTTTGAACACCATTCTTAGACTTCCTTTCATCCCCAGACATTTCTCCTGGTCCTTTGCACCACTCTTCCCTGCGGTTTTCTGGCTACTACATCAGAGTCAAGACACACTGTATAGCTAACATTCAGTCTTAACAGTCATTCTTTTTCAAAGCTCAGTCTTCAGGCAAAGAGCAAATAGGGCTGCCTGTGCTGTTGTGGTTTAATAAGCTCTCTTGCACAGAACAGAGAACCTCTGCCATTGATGTGCCTCCACACAGACGCATTCAAGGTGGCTTGCGCTGAAGCAATTTTCTCTGCTGGGTTATTCATACACAACAGAAATCTTCACAGGGATCTTGAATCTCTATAAAGCGCGTTACCGAATCCTCTCACTGCACAGGCACTGGCGGGCATACTGACAGCCCTCCAGCTGCAAATTTGCAGTTTTCTGTGGACTGGTGCAAACACCCCACCTAGACAGGCGTCTCAGGGAGTGCTTGTAGTTTGCGCTGAACAGTTCTGTTCAATGATCTGCTGGCATTTAGCAAACTGTTTTTCTTACTAGGTTCAACTTCTGGATAAGCTGCTAGAACCAGAGGTTTGCAGAAGACCAAGTCAAGTGAGCAGCACTATTTATGACTGACTTTTGTTGCAAATGTGACTCACAGCAGCACAGATGTGAATCTGGCAAAGGGAAAGCGGAGCAAACTGGAAACACTTCTGTGCTCCAGGTGACACTGAATGACAGAAGATGATCACCATGCTGGGGAGGCAAGGATGTCTCCCAATGGCATTGTGTAATATTTGTGCATATTCACAGTGCGAACAGAACTTATTTCCGTATCTAGACCAGTACCCCACACAGTAGCTCTGTCAGCAACTGTGTCAGCACACTACTGAAGTATTCTGTTAACATAATATGAGCAATGTTTCTGTCTGTGGGTTTCCTTTTGTTCTTAAAATACCTATAAACCTGGTTTGTGGCTTCAAAAGATCACAGTACCCCACATCAGAGTGCTGTGATTGCGTGCTGCCCACAGGAAATATTACCCTGTGTTGAACATAGTTCATTTCCCCAACACTGTGGATTTATGATGGGTTAAGGAAAGCAGGGTATGAATCATTCAAACATTTCTAATATAAGCACTATCCAATAACCCTTCCCCCACTTGGAAAGTCTCTGGCCAAATGCTGTCCCTCTGTTCCAGCTCCTCCTGACCGCCTCTCCCCATTTCCGGATGGGCCCTGGCCCCCAGCCCTTATCTCCTCCAGCCCCTGGGCTGTTTGCAGAGAGCAGTTATAAAGAGGCTGACCCAGCAGAGAGTGGAGGAGAATTATAAGGTGCAGGAAAACAGCAGCACCAGACCAGACCAGGCATCTGCTTGACTCACCACAACCTGCTCTGCACCATGGGGAAGGACGGGCTGCCCAGCAAACCAAACATCTTCCTCCTTCTCCTCTTCTTCCTTCCTGGAAACACCTCTCCCACCACAGAACCGTAAGCTACACATGTGGAGGGGGGAGGGAGGTCTTACTGCTCCTTTTTTGCCTTCAGTTTTCTTCCTTTATGTCTAAGGGCTGTACCAGCTTCTTCCACTCCTGCCCTGCATCCCACAAGTAGCCAAGCCCTGAGCTTCCTCCACAGCTCTGCCAGTGCTCCCCACTCCCACTCTGCAACGCCCTGGTTGTCCAGCCCTGGACACCCCCCCAGCTCTGCCAATGCCCACACTCCTGCCCTTCAGCTGCCTCCTAGTCCAGCCCTGGATCCTCACAACACCTTTCCCTAAGTACATACCTGCCTAGAAAGCTCAGGTGCCTGGGGTTTTGCAGGCACGATGGCAGAATCTGCGTACTTACCTTTCTGGTAGTATCCTTGTTTGAATTGCTGAATTATTTCTCCCCATTCTCCTGTTGCTTTCAAGCCCGTTTTCTCCCCTTTCTCTTATTTCTTTCAAGCCAGTTTGTTTCCCTTGGCAGCATCAGATGTGCTTGTTCCCAAAGAGGATCTGTGACCTAGATTCTCTTCCTCTGGTGTGGAGCCTGGCGCTGGCACCCTCCCCTGGGGCACGCACCCCAGGGCTCCGCAGACCAGCAGCATGGCTGCAGCACCCACTCTGCCAAGGGCTCCAAGGAAAGGGGCAGCCCAGGATGGCACGGGCAGACTGGAGGCTGGCTTCCCCGCCCCAGCGTTGCCTACCAGAGAGGATTGCTCCAGAGCCTCTAGTCTGGATGGGAGCAGCCTCCCTCCTCAGACCCCAGCTGCTGTCGCACACTGTGCCTCTTGCTGTGCTGGCAGAAGCGCGGTGTTCACCACTGCGGGTCTCATCATGCTTGCTACAGAGATTTCATGCACATGAGCACTGCAGTAGTGGTAGTAGCTGCAGCAGAAGGTGCAGTGCTGCTGCTGCCGCTTACTGCGTGGTCTGAGGTGAACTGGTGACTGGCTCAGACTGAAGGACCCTTGACTCACACTGCACCGTCAACCTCCCATGAATCTGTCCTGTCTGGGTTCTTCTGGGGCAGATGAGCCAGCCAAGTCTGCTCTGGGGTCAGGCTGAGCTCTCTAGTCTCCCTACAGTAAGCTGATGTAACTAAATAATTGAGATCAAGTAATCTTAATTCATCCCTGCCCAAGATCAGGGGGAAAGGGAGCAAATCCATACTGCTCCTGTGAGCAACATGCTGTGCTTCATCGCTGACTTGAGCACCATTTGAGGAGGGGAGAAGAAGGAAGGGCTGAGAGAGTTGGGGAGAGAGGGGTGTAGCTGGGATCCACAGAATGAAGACAGGAGCCCAGTAAACAGCTGGGGAGCAGGGAGGCAGTGGAGTCTGAGCAGTGAATTGCTAGGCAGGTGCAAGGGTAGTGGTGTTGTTTTAAGTGTTGCAGGGTAGATCAGGTGCTGTGTATAACACAGAAGGGAAGCCGCCTTTGAGCTGAGGGGAAAATGAAGCTTCCAACCAAAGCTTGCTTCCTGTGGCTGGCCGGGGTAGGGCAATAGCTTCTTTGAGCGGCAGCAGTTGCTGCCGTTTCTGTTTCAGATGCAGCTGGCTGCACAGGAGACACAATTAAGGTTCAGACTATGTATTAGAATAAAACTTGTTCACCAAGTTAGTGCAGCACTGGAACAGGTGATCCAGAGAGCTGATGGAATCTCCATCTATGGATTCCTTTGCAACAGTCCAGTTCCAGGAGAGAAGGTGGGCTTGAGACATCCAGGGATTCCTTGCAACCAAAAATGTTATGATTCTGTAACATACAGACAGCAAGATTTTTTTTCCTTGCTCTGGATCTTTTCTGGAAGAATTCAACAGGAGGTATCATTCTCCTATTCTGGTAGGTGGTTGTGTACACCAACTACTTTATAATGCGGTGTACATGCTTGGGGATACACCGCATAGAGCCAGAATGCAGGGTCGTGATGGCACATGAATTGGCAGGTGTGGGTTTGGACTGATGGAGCTGATGAAATTCACTGACTTCTTTGGTTGAGTGTTTGTTCCAGGAAGTAGCCAAGAGTCAATACACAGATGGTAGTCCATCTTAAGCTAGAGTATTACCTTCTATATAGAGACAAACTCACTGTTTTTGCCTCAGCCACTTTCTGCTATCCCTCCTTTGTGGCCTGCTTCTGCTGGAGTCACTGCATCTGTTTTCAGAACAGTTCGTTGCATGCAGGGAAGCTGCTGAGGTCTCTTTTGGCAGCCCAGATGCTTTTTGTCCTGGAAAGTCTATACATGGATGTTGTGACCCAAGTTATTTAAAGCCTCTTAGTACTTTAATTCATCTAGCTCTTTTCGCCAGCACATCCCAAAACAGCTAAATGGAGGTCTATAAACAGTGTATTTCTTATCCTTGTTTCAAAGGCAGGGAAGCCGGTGTAGGGGGAAGTTCTGCACATTGGCCAAAACTTCAGCAGAACAGTGAACAGGAAGAGAAATGATGCCAAATTCCCCGCGAACTAGGTCACGCTGTCCCTTCAGCAGGCTGGAGGTTACAGCCAGTGCCACTGATGGGGACAGGGGAAATAGCGTGAGGGGAAGCAGACACGGGGCGACGCCGTGGTGAGAAGGCTGTGGAGGAAGGGGAGCGCTGGAGCAAGCAGTCACAAGCTGCGAGTCACTCCCTGGGTGGCTGGAGCTCACTTCTTTCACTGCTTCTGCAGCAGCACGCGCTGGCCGGAGTTACCGGCTGGCTCCTCGTCATGCTTTATCCCGTTGCCTGGTGTTGAGGGAAATGGAGGTACTGCCTGGGTCCCACCACCTCCACAGTGGCTTTAGGTTTCCTCCTATGCACACAGTGGTTAATACACCCTGCAGATTGAATTGCCACCAGAACCTCCTGCTGCTGCATCGGGATAGCTTGAATATGCACAGGGATAAAGGAATACCAGGTCTGTAAAAATGGTCCAGCCTCAGACCATTAGCTCTGCATTCTGCCTGTGTTGGTGGCCAGTTGTAGGTGCTGAGGGACAGAGTAGAGGAGCAAGGCAAGTACTGTGGAAATGAGTTTCCCATCGGCTATAGCCTCATGGAGCTTCTGTCAGAGGTTCAAGGTCTTATTGCAGCAGGGATTACACATGTGCTACTACGTTTTCTAGCCATTTCTGGGCAACTGATTTACCCAGGACATTTTTTATAACCTTCATATCGGGAGCAGCTGATCTTCATGCCCTTATGAGCCTCATAGAAAATTTTATGTGGCTGGTGCCATGGGGCAGATACCATATGCCTTGGGGAGTTACTGGCAGGTGGGGAGTGACAGCTTCTTTTAAGGGCCTGCATGTGGCTGGACACGCAGGTAAGGCCCTGATTATCCAACTCAGTGGCTGCTGCTGGCTTATTTTGTTCCTCATCCAGGGAAGGACAGTTGACTGCTGTCTGTCACCTGATGCAGCCTGGGTGGTTGTGCCCTTCTTGGTCTGCTTGAGAGCACCAGAAGGCTCAAGAGCCACAAGCTGACCATACCAGAATTGAACATTTGGACTTTACAGCATCTGGTAGTATGAAGTTCCTCATTTTAATTTTGTACATTAGTGACAAAGTTTCTGCTTCCTTCTATTTTTTCTAAGCCATCTGCTTAATATTTTCACCTGGTGTGGTTTAGTACATGCGTCATCACAAGTGATGAACAAACCATACTGTCTGTCGTGCACATCGTGACTTTATAGCTTTCTGTCAAGCCTTTTTCCAGGCTGAAGAGTCCTAATCTATGTAGTGTCTTCTCCTATGGAAATCATTCCAGATTTCAGATCACCTCTGCCATCTTTCACTGAACCTTTCCTGCTAAATCCACTTTTTCAGTGGGAGCAAACCAACACATCATATGTGAGATATGGAAGTACTTTGCAATTATACAATGGCAAAACGATGCGTTCTGATTTGTCCTCTGTTCCTTTCAGAACACTTCCCTATAGTCCATTTGTTACTTATCACTGAATGAGAATTTTCCAAGAGTGATCAACAGTGCTCGTGTCCAAGTGGTAGTAGCCCACTTAGTGATACAGCATATACACAATAGTATATATACTGTTGGTGTAATTTTTTCTTCCTCTATTTATTGTTTTCCCTTTATGAACAGTTCATTTGCCATTTCTGCTATGCAGTCCCACCATATGACAAAAGTTTTCCACAAATATGTAAGTCAATTTTAAGAATTTTCTTACCCTGGGCAATTATCAGAAAATTGTGTTTCCCAGATCATTTAGAAGTGTAATGAACAACAGGGGTCCCAACACAGACTCTGGAGATTTTCATCGGTTCCTGCACTTTGTGTCCTATCTTTTAACCAATTAATCCAGGATTAATAAGTTGATTTATTAATAAAAAATCAGTAAAATTATCACTTTTATTGTATGGCAGCTTAGTTTAGGGGTCCTTTGTGAGGGACCTTTGTAAAAAGCTTTTTGAAGATGCAAGTACACTTGTGTTGCAACAAACCACTACTCTCTGAAATCCTTTGTGTTCTCATCTTAATAAGGTCCCAAACTGCAAGCACTCACATTTTTGCTCAGCATGAGAAGGATTTGGAAACCTGGATAGGCAAAGACAGGAGCAGCCAGACAAGTGGGTGGTTTTTTCAACCCTAAAACTACTGAATTTTCAACCTTTTTTTAGCTAATGCCTCTGAGTCTCAATAGGAGATTGTGGGATATACAAAAATCAATTAACAGCCTGGAACTTTTCACACCATCCTTACTCCCTACTGTGAAGCAGAACAAAACACCCTTTGTAAAGGACTCTCCATTAGCATAGAAATTGTTTCTTCCACTGCAAGCATTTTCCTGCTTTTAGGCTAATTAGTTAGGCAGTTTGGTATGTATAAACTCAAAATAAAATGAATGCTCATGTGTATGTACACTGCAATTCACAGGGGTAGTAATGGATTAGGCATGCTGATTTGTTAATTTCCTTTCACTCAGTACTGTTGCCTTAAAACTGTTTCACATTTCTGATCCTTCTGATTCTTGCTTCCCTCTCTTCCTAGGCAGTACATGGTGCTGCTGCCCTTTCTGATACACACGGATTCTCCTGAGAAAGTCTGCGTTCAGCTGACCCACCTGAATGAGTCTGTGACGCTGAGTGCCACACTCGAGTATCAAGGGGAAAACAGGAGCTTGATTGATGACGTGGTGTCAGAGAAGGACGTGTTCACCTGCATCCCTTTCTCTGTGAGTATCTCATCTGCGTGGGCTGGTCCCTTGTGTTTACTGACGTCACGCAGTAGATCTAAAGAGTTCAGAAATGAGAAAAAAGACACATTGCAATCAGAGAATTCTAAGCTAAGCCAAACAAAAAAAAGAATTTAATGTGGAAAATTGACTGTGGCAGCCTTATGAGGAATAATTTTCCACCATTATAAAATTCTGTGTCCCACATGATATTTGTGTGCATGCAGGGCTTAGACAACTCTTTTGGGATCCTTCATCCTAGAACTTTGACTGACAGAACACACCCCATGTTTGTTTGATTGGTGTAAGCCTCAGAGGAAAAATAGGGAAGTAGAATAAGAACTGTAGAAGCTGGGGAATGGTTAAAGACAGTGAGGTCCATGAGGTCATTTGTCTGCTTCTGGAGCTTATTCACGACTGTTTACTGCAGAAGGCTCGTTGATCAGTAATGTAAGCAACCAGTCCCACCCCCTAAATAATGAATCTGGATTGATTTCCATTTTGATAAATCATAGGATAGAACAAAATCAGATTCAATGTTTCTGTAAGGAAAGTATATAAATGAAGGAAGGGAAGAGACTTCCAGTATTGTAAGGAGAGGAAGAAGCAGCATGGAGAAAACTCAGGGAAATGGAGGTCTATCATTGCAACAATTCCTGAAGGAAAAAGAAAATTTTCTTGAGACAGAGGAGACAAGCCCTCCAAGTTCACGTCAGAAAATCATGTTTTTCTCTTGCTTCCAGCACTGAGTCTTTGATGTCACTTTAGGAAACTTTCAGACCTAGCTAATACTCTGTCCTTCGAAGGCTCGGTGCAATGTGCTGAATCAGTAAAGCAGTTATCCTCTTCATTTTCCTTAGCTTCCAAAATCCAATAGCACATCAGTGGCATTTCTCACTGTGATGTTGAAGGGGGCAACACTGCAGTTCACGAGCCGCAAGTCGGTGCTGGTCAAGAATCCTGAGAGCTTGGTCTTCGTCCAGACAGACAAACCCATCTACAAGCCCGGACAGACAGGTACAGGGAATTGGGCTGGTGTTGACTCTGACAACAGAAAACCTTACGGGCTTCATTCCCCAGAGACCCATACTTTTATTAAAGTTTTCAGACTTCTTCATGGAGAGGAGTTAAAGCATTCAGTGAATCTTATTTCTGTCAGCTGAGATCTAAGGCATGTGGTACCTTGCCCATTCCTATTCTCCATCCTCCAGGCACAGCATCTCAGCCAGATGTAGGCACAGGCTCAGATTCATTCTCCTCAACTAGAGGCACGAATCTGGGGTGACTTCAAAGCATAGTCTCCCTTGGCTGCACCTGAATCAACAAAGCAGGACAGGCACTCCCAAGGGACAATTCAGTTCAGGCAAGACCTGATTATCCTTCTAAATTTATCGGCCTCTCACCATCTGCCAGAGAAAGAGCCTGAAGTAATTGCTTCCGTAACTTAGAGATCTCAGTTCAGAGCCTGTTGATCCGTGGAATGAATCTGAGTTATAAATTATTGAAACACTGACGTTTCCCGGTAATGGCTACAATTTTAACAGTGGAATTTCCTTCTTTTCCGTTACACCCTTCAGTTCTGTTTCGGATCGTCTCTCTGGACAAAGACTTCTACCCGCTGAATGAGAAGGTAGAGCCATACTTCTTTGTTGTTAACCGGAAGGCTTAATTCCCAATTAACACCATTACTGGCATCATCCAGAACCACTGAAGACAGCCTTTAAAGTATATGATCCTTTCTTACTCACACCATCCTTGACCTATTCTATATCCTGTCTGAGGACACACTCCACCTGTCTCTTAAGAAAAAGAAAAACAGATCCCCTTTTTCAAAGGAATGTAGGTGTTTAAAGCCAGACTTACAAAGGAATGTATGTGGCTAAGCATGCAGGCAGAGTTCTTACTATTTAAAAAAATGGATGGGACAGGTTTCCATGGAAAGTGACAGACGTGCAGATGTTTCTGACAGTGCTTAGAGGCACTAACCACATGCTCAGAGGCAGAGAGAGCAGCATGATGAGGACATGGTTTTAAGGAACTGGTCAGGAGTGTAAGTCTACCATTTAGCTTATTTGGCAGTCAGTTCCTCATGGAGACATGCTCTTTGAAAACTCTTACTTCATCACATTTTCATACTGTGGTAAGACAAAAAGTTGAGGCTCTAAAATACTATAGAAGAGATTCCCTTAAGCATCAAGAACTAAGGAAACAGAGCAAGCACAGAAAAGGAAGAACCCAAAGGACTTCTTAGAAGGTTGTTCTTCTACCCTTCAGTCCAAATTTGGAAAGTACTTCCATCCATATGTAACTAATATTTCTAACTCTGATTTTCCTTTGTTCTTTCCCCACAGTTTCCGTTTGTCTATGTTCAGGTGAGTGGATAACTAAATGTCTATTATTTCAGCAGAATGTGCAGGCATAGGGGTAGTAGTCTCCAGCAGTGGTGTTTTCAGGCTGAGGTGCAAGGGAAGAAACATGGACGTGCGACCTTCTTCCTTTGTGTAAAGGAAGGCTGGGTAGCTGGCCATCAAAATAAGTTCCAAGAATGGGTCTTTGATTGAGGAAAGTGATGTAGGACGAAATAGTTAACTAGTGCAAGCCATGCTGTGAACAGAATTCTACTTGCCTGACGGTCATATCAGAATGGCTTATTCCTCTTCCCAAGCAGAACTAAGATTTTCTGTCTGCCAACTGTGGTTGAAACCACAAACAGCATTAAACAAACTAGCAAAGCTAAAGAAGCAAAATTATGTAAGTAGAAGTCCCCTGTCTCCTCAAGCATGCCCTTTTTTGTCTCTTTTTTTAAAATGGTTGAACTTTAGTGACAGACAAAAGTTAATAGGAAGGATGCTTCTGTCAAAGGTTCAGTACTAACTTTTTCAGCTGAGAAACCAGAATTTACAATTATTATCTGGGACATCTTCTAGTGGAAAACTGATGGGAAGGACCCAGCTACAGACCCTGAAGCCATGATAGCAGCACAAACAGTGATGAAATTAGTGTGCACAGAAGTTCAGTTGGTTAGTGTGATTATGGTCCTACGTAGTCAGTCCTGTCATTGCTCCTTGCTGCTTGGGGTTGCTGTCTCCATTCTGCACTCTCTCTCTCTAGAGCTGGGGGCATTGTCATAACAGAGGAGGCAGAAGGTGGGCCAGAAACAGGCTATGCTCCTCTTTTCTACCCTCCCATCAGAGTACTGTCACTCTCTCTTGTCCTTAGCAAACAGAGCTGCAGAGCTGGTGGGCCACTGGCAGGCTGTGAATATTTTGAGAAAGAAGAGTGAGAGAGTGTGTGGTGTGGGATAGTAGGTGGAGGAGAGCATCTCAGAACTACCTTCTGCTGATGCTTTCCCATGGGGTTGTAGAGTAGGTCACTTCCCTTGCAATGAGATGATACTCCTGATATTCTTGAATTCCTCTTCCAAGGAAGTGGGGTGGTGTCCCTCACAGTAAGTGGTGAGCTTTTCAGCAGAGTTGAAACATGACCACGAAGAGGATTTCGCCAGAGCCATGGAATACGTTTTACTGACTATGCCTTCCGCCCGGGGTGCTGCTTGGGATGAAGGCCCCCTGTTCTGCCCCCTGACTGGTGACCTCCAACTGGGAGTTGTCATTCACATCCCCTTTTCCCTAAGCCCTGAGATAAAATCTCAGTGAAGTAAGTGCACACAGTCACATACCTATCTAGAGTAAATAGACTTTTGGTGACAGCCAAGGTACAATGCAAAGAGCAGGCAGAAGATGAAAGACTGTAAACATTAACCATCCTGCTGAGGAGCCCGGAACGGGTGCATCAAACTACGCAGCACCACTGTGTTGGTTCGGTGACTTCTACAAGACATTTGGGGCTGAGCGGATGAATTTGGAGCACAGCCGATTGACAGGCCGTTCATAATGAGCAATGCTCAGCTGTAGCAGTGCTGAGATTTCAGGTCCACCATTAGGAGCAGGAGGAGACAAGAAGAGAGAGCTCTCAGCTGGATGCAAATATATGTGATATCCTTTCCTCTGTTCCTGTCCCCACTCCCCCACCCCACCACAAGCTTTGGAATCTTACACAGGTACATTTCTCAGTCCTATAGATAGATCAGGTGTCACATTCCAGGTTATGCACTGGTACTCAGTCTCTGTTCCAGGCATGGAAAAAGACACTTTTAGCAGGCTGTATAGCAAGTGAAGGAGACTGAAACTTCCCTCCTTTCTCCCTGTGCTCCTCTCACTCCTGCTGTCCATCTCTTCATCTTGTTGCCTTGCCAGTCTGTCCTCCCCAGCTTCCTAGCCCCATCCTTCATAAGCATGCAGGTAGAGCTGAGGGGGAGATCACACAGGACCTCCAGGGTTAAAAAGATTTCTTGCATGCTTGTTTTGCAGAATTGACACGTAAATGCTCACAGATCGTCACAGATTACTGAATAATGACAGCCAGGCATTTCCCACCCAGGATGTGTACATACTGGGCGCTCCACTGCTCTGTCCCTGGGAGCCTTCTGTACTGCCTTGTGACTCTGAGTTGTCCTCACCTGCAGGATCCCCAGAGAAACCGTGTGTACCAATGGCAAGGGGTGGAACTAGAGACCGGCCTTACGCAGCTCTCCTTCCCTCTCACCTCAGAGCCCATCCAAGGCACCTACAAAATAGTCGTGCAGAAGAGCTTCTCGTCCTATGTGAAGCACTCCTTCACAGTGAAGGAATATGGTAAGGTATGGGCTGCAAGTGGGACTGACAGCAGTGCCTTTTACTGTGACTTTGGGGTTTCCTAGGAATGGCATGGAGAAGGGAGGGACTGAAGAGATAGGCAATGGGGTTCAGAGGGGCTGACCCAGAAAGTGCTATCAGAGATGGTTGCTCACTTTAAGGTGTCTCTGCAACCTGCCTGAGATTGTATTTGCTCATAGTGCTCTCGGGAGTACAGGGTCTGACAGGCTTCCTGTGCATGGCTTGTGACACCAATTTCAGCTGACTTTGTTTTAGTTGCTTTCCAGTCCAGCAGCTTGTTGCAAGTAGCACTACATACAGAATAAAAGATGACAATATTTTGGTGACCCTGTTTTGCCTCTCTCATCATCTGCATCAGTTCCATTTCTCCACTTGTAGTCCTCTCTCTTTTCCATCTTCTTCCTTGTTTCTACAAAAGCTTAGAAAATATGTTTGGTAGAAAACTTCAGTTTGAAGAAGAACACCCCACAAATGTTACAAGCAGATGAAAACAATCTGGTAGCAGAGACTGAGTAAGGAGGAATGTGCTGCCCCAGGGAGCAGTCTAACCCCTAGTTCTGTAACGAACCTTCCCAGTTTGTAGACATGTACTCTGGCTAGGCTGTGTGTGCCTGAGGAGGCTGCTAGGCTGTGCTCCGTGCTCCTGGGCTCCCACCCGCTGTACATGGAGACAGAATGACCACAGCCCGTTGCTCAGAACCTGCTGTTTCTGGAAAACACAGGGTGCAGACCCAAAGAAGACTGTCACTGCAGTCCATGGGAGCTGGCCTATTTCACTCAGAGTAGGCACGGTGGCTAGTATGAACATGGTGAATAATTTCAACAGAAACCAGGTTATACACTTTGGCCTGCCATAATGACAGATGGGCTATGCCTCCTCCCACAAAGATCATCCTGAATGCCCCCCAAAATCAAAGATGTACGTCCCTTTCTTAGCCTCACACTAAACTCGGTTTTCTTTTATTTGTTCTTTAGTCTTATTCCCATGAATCTTCCTTGTTGCTAATTTTCTTACAGCCTTTTGAGGAAATGTGCCCTGGAGTTGAAACATTGAGCTCTACCTCCCATCCTAGCAGCAAATTTATGTCTAAACTGTATAACCTACGGTTGCTTTCCAGTTCTCGGGTCTGGGTGTGCACCCTCCCCACTCTTCTTTCCTTGCACTGTGAAAAAGCCCTCAGGTGTACAGCCTGCAAGCAGGCCATGACAGGCTGCCGTCCAGTCCTGGGCTTGAGTAGTTGCGGGCTTAGGGTTGCAAGAGGCAATATGGGAAGAGGGATATAACTTAACACTCAGGAGCAAAATATACCATTTCCTTGCCACCCTTTATATCAGACGTTGTTGCTGCCTCGTCCACTTGAAAATACAGACCTGAGAGTCTGTGGCTAGATTCCCTAGAACTGTCTGGACATGCAGGACAGTTTCATATGTTACATGTTAGTGACCCTAACAGCAGCTTGGGATCTCCAGAGCAGTAAGAAACAGACCGAGAGTATCAATAATTCAAACCATTTCAATGTGGTAAATGACACATGTGGTGAATGTGCTACTCCAAGTCTTAGTTGCAAATTATGTATTGTGAAACATGGAACACAACACATAGGACCAGTGTGTCCTTCTGAATGGGCATATGTAAGGGATCTATACAGCTGTCTTGTGCCAATGGGATCCCATGAGCATGTGCTGCAAATGAGGGAAGGTAAGGGCTACAACCCTCCTCAAATTCCCTTTAAATCCAAAAAGGTGGTGAAGGCTGAGAAAACCTAGGGAAGGGGTTGCAAAGCTGTACTGCAGACCACAGAGAGCTAATGGTTCCTATTAAGATGATCCCAGCTCTGTGTTTGGGTTGCTGTGTAGTACACAGCTCTCCATCACTCTTCTCATATCAGGCTTTCTCTCTCCCATCTAGTGCTGCCCAAGTACGAGGTCCTGGTGAAGCTGCCCAAGGCGATCACTATCAAGGACACGGAGCTTCCAGTGTCCGTCTGCGGTCTGTGAGTCACAGAGCTGGAGTCAAATCTCTCTTGCTCATCCTTCACCCCTCCTTTCTGCTGAGGATGAAAAGAGCTGAGGAAGGCTTTTCATGCTTTTCTCAGACATCTAGTGCAGTCTTGTTCCACCCTATCAAACCCGAACCTGAACAAAGTAAAGGGTCTTCTCTGTGTTCTGTAGAAGATGATGCCAAACCAATCTGCAGCTCTCTCCTCCCAATTTACTGCACATTTTCCTTTTCTGTCTTTACATTTCTTCAGTTAGAGCTTCTCTGCCAATCCTGAATCCTCACATACTCAGAGATGTCAGATCAGACACTACTTAAACAGCTGGTGCAAACCCAGTGTTCTCATTTTAAACTCATAAATTGCTCCTCCTGAGCCCCTCGTTGCCTTTCTACTTCTTTATTGAACCCTCAGGAGTTTGTGATACAAGGATAGGCCTGGCTGAAACAATTTTCTGCAGACAGTCTTTTACTGCGTTCCTGCATAGGCCTCCCACCTAGAACAGATTCTAATGGATGATGGAAGAATCACACCATGGAAATGATGGAAACACAATCACTAGAATCATTAAAATATCATACGAGTCAGCCTTTAAGAAGAAGTACTAGGAAGTCATCCACAAAGGTCTTTAAGGAGATGTGTCTGAGTGTGACTCTGACTAATTGTCTCATCATCTAATATATTGTTTAACATTTTGTGATTGTAGGTACACCTACGGGAAACCTGTTCCTGGTTTGGTGAATGTCCAAGTGTGCCGGAATTTTTCCCATTCTGCTTCAAATTGTTATGGAAAAGAAGCAGAAGCTGTGTGTGAAGAATTCACTAGGCAGGTGAGTCCCAAGATTAAAATGTAGGGGTTTGTCTTATGGGTAATGGGCAATGTTGTCCAAAGGAGGCCAGACCTGTGACTGTTGTGAGAGAGTAGGACATCAGAGATAGCACTTTATCCAGGGAAAAGCAGATGTTCTCAGAGGAATGCATTCTTAAGAGGTGGGTCATTAAACTGGAAACCAAACTGATGAAGAAGACCCCACAGCTGAAATCCTGACCCCATTGAAACTAGTGACAAATTTCCAGTTAGCAGCTGCAATGTCCGTGATATTGATCCCCAAACTGAGAAAAGAATCTGTGAAGGAGTTTTGTAACTGTGGAACAGACTGGCAGGGAGCAGAGAGCAAAGAAGATGAGGAGATAACAAGAAGGAGGTATTGTATATGGGTCAAACACAGGAGAAAGGAGAAAGGGCAACAAGGAAAAGAGTGAAGACAACGGAAGAAACAGGAAGAAAACCAAAACTAAGGTAGGAGGGAGTTAACAAGGAAGCCAGTGCATGCCTTGGAGAAATGAGTGTCAGGTACCTCACAGAACACAGAAAATGTGTGGATGAAGCACTGGGAAACAGCCTATGAACAATTTCTGGTCTTGGAGACAACCCTAGAACATAAGGCTGTGATTTTGAGGGTGACAGAGCACTGGAACAGGCTGCCCGGAGGGGCTGTGGTGTCTCCTTCTCTGGAAATATTCAAATCCTGCCTGGACGAGGTCCTGTGCAGCCTGCTGCAGGTGACCCTGCTTCGGCAGGGGGGGGGGGGTAGAAGTTTGTGACAGACATGCATGTTGGGTTTGGGGTATCTATTCCTGTCCCACAAGGCACCAAATTTGTTCACAGAATTCCAATTTTCTCTCCAATTCCCTGCTTAGGCAGATGCCCGTGGGTGTGTTTCTGGTGTAGTAAGTACCAAGATATTTCAGCTCCAGCGCAGGGGATATGAGATGGGCATTGAAGTGCACGGCAAGATCACAGAAGATGGCACAGGTATGTATCACATGGAGACAGCAAAGTGAATGGCAGACCATAACAGGAGGGCCTGGAAAAGTTGAGGAAAGTGGAGTGACATGTCTAGAAATGCTGCTGTTCATTAATAATCCCTCTTTACTGTGCTCTCTCTCAGGAACAGAGATGACTGGAACAGGCTCCTGTGGAATCACATCTACCATGAGCAAAATCAGCTTTGACCTGCTGGACTCTCAGTACAGACCAGGGATCCCACTCTTTGGGAGGGTAGGGAACTTCTGAGACCCTGGACAATAAATGGCACAGCAACCTCACAAGTGCACAGTCCCATCAGTGTATGGATGACGTGGTCCACCTTCCTCTGCCTTTGCACAGGCAGATGAATTATTGTCAGTCAGGCCATTCTAACGGACACATGGCCCTGAACTCCTGGCAGTCAGCTCGGTAGAGAATAGGCTGCCTGTCGTTCAGACACCTGAGAATAACGTCAGGGAGCAGCAAGTGTGGGCTATTCCACAAGGGAACGCTATCCAGGTGCGAAGGGTGACCACAACACAGTTAGGCGTAGTAACCTCATCAACAAGGGCACAGTCCTACAGTACCCAACCAGAATGAGCAGAGCAGGGGTAGTGACATCAATAGGTTCTACCAACAGTCCAGCGATCGCCAGACAATGTGAGGTGATGATCAGGGCTGAGCTCAACCAAGGAAGTTCAGTTAACCAGATGGGAACAGCAGGAGAAAGAGCTGGGTGTAGGTCTACCTCCAACATAGCTTTAGTCAAGGACTGGGGCAAGGCACAAGCCTGAACTTAGAGCTTGAACCAAGAGGCAGATGATATGTGGCGGAGGTACCAGATGAAGGTGGCCAGGGGAATTAAAATCTGTTGAGGAACTTAGGGCTCTGACAGATAATTTCCCTGGGCCAGGCAGATTGTTTTGCTGAGAATTTTCTCAGTTGCTGCCTCAGACAACTCGGGACTCACCCCACACATTTCTACATTCATGTCTTTTGTTCTTCTCTGTAAAAACATCCTGCCTGGCAAGGAGGAAAAGGAGGAAGGGTTTTAAGACTTGAGAATTGTTTTCTGTTTCTAGTCTAAAACCTGAAGTTTGTTTTTGCTCTGTTAGGTGAAGCTGGTAAATGGCACCAATGCTCTTAGGCGTAGTAACCTCATCAACAAGGGCACAGTCCTACAGTACCCAACCAGAATGAGCAGAGCAGGGGTAGTGACATCAATAGGTTCTACCAACAGTCCAGCGATCGCCAGACAATGTGAGGTGATGATCAGGGCTGAGCTCAACCAAGGAAGTTCAGTTAACCAGATGGGAACAGCAGGAGAAAGAGCTGGGTGTAGGTCTACCTCCAACATAGCTTTAGTCAAGGACTGGGGCAAGGCACAAGCCTGAACTTAGAGCTTGAACCAAGAGGCAGATGATATGTGGCGGAGGTACCAGATGAAGGTGGCCAGGGGAATTAAAATCTGTTGAGGAACTTAGGGCTCTGACAGATAATTTCCCTGGGCCAGGCAGATTGTTTTGCTGAGAATTTTCTCAGTTGCTGCCTCAGACAACTCGGGACTCACCCCACACATTTCTACATTCATGTCTTTTGTTCTTCTCTGTAAAAACATCCTGCCTGGCAAGGAGGAAAAGGAGGAAGGGTTTTAAGACTTGAGAATTGTTTTCTGTTTCTAGTCTAAAACCTGAAGTTTGTTTTTGCTCTGTTAGGTGAAGCTGGTAAATGGCACCAATGCTCCTATTGCCAATGAAACCATCATGATTTCTGTGGATGGAGACAGATACAAAGGGAATTACACTACAGATGAGCAGGGACAATCCTGGTTTTCCATAGACACTACCACCTTCACACAAGCTTCCCTGGAAATCCGAGTAAGTGGCAGAGACAGGGCAGGGGGACTGGGGTAAGCCTCTGTCTTGCTGATCATCGGGGAAAATACCTATCCATGGGTTATCAGTCCTTCTGCCAATCAGAACATAAAGCAAGTTTCTTGGCAGGTCTTCTCTGTATCTCCTGTGTGTGTTCTCTACCTTCTTCTAAGAGTGGGAAATGCAGAACATACCCAGAGCTTTTCTGTGAATTTTCATGTGACTTGTTACCTGGTTTTGGTCAGCTGTGAACTTTTTATTCTTCTTTATCAGGCTGATCATAAACCTGAACTGAACTGCTATGACAGCAGCTGGATCACACCTTCATATGAGCATGCCGTGCGTAGAATAAGTCGGTTTTACTCCGCCAGTAAGAGTTTCCTCAAAATTGAGCCAAAGCCTGAGACATTAAGTTGTGGCTTCCCCACGGAGATCCAGGTGCACTATATCTTCACACCAGAGGCCATAGGGGAGCAGAAGAAAATTGTCATTTACTATTTGGTAAGAATTATTTGTGGTTACTTTGATCTATGGCCACAGAGAGCACTGTGGCACATGTAGTTACCTTCCATGATGAGCAACCATAACACTGCTATATGGTCAGTCCTTAGCCAGTAATGGCAGCAAGAATTTGAAACTGAAAGAGTGGCCTATGGCAGCGGGATTTAAACGTATTTCCATAATGTTTCTTATGTTATCTTCTGTGTGCAGACATGGGTAAAGGGTACATGTTTATTAAGAAAAGAAGAGAGACAAAATGTTGATGGAGAGAGCATTGTCTTGAGTGCCGCATCCAAGACTCATTTCATAATACTCCACTCCCACTTTGCCCGATTCCAAATTGTCGTTCATATGTGGTCACAGCTCAGGACCCACCATCCTACAAGACGAAAGACAAGGAGGAAAGCAGTCTCCTACTGTTTTGTCCTTTAGTAGTCATCTGACCTCTGAAACTAAAGCAACACCTCTAACTACAGCACCAGAAAAGCCCAATAAGCTTAGAGCTTAGGTCGTATATCAGGCAATGATGAAAAGTTTGGGTTGCCACCAGTAACTGGAACAGACTATAACACGCTGGCACTGAGAACCATGAATTGATTCATTTGGGAGGCAGAGAAGAGAGACTCCTTCAACTGTGACTGAACTGATCTGTCAGTTTTGCTTGGGAGAACAAGAAGAATCAGATGAATATTCAAATAGAACTTCTTTCCCCCTAAATTTGTTTTTCTGCTTTTCCCATTTAGTGACACTAGCAGAAGAGATGAGAGTAGCCTTGGATAACTAGAAGAAATCAGTGCAACAGACACTCCTGTTCTGATGAATTGTACAGAACATCAGGGACACTTAGACTGAGACTACAGAAAAGAGAACAGGAACCTGTGGTAGAGATGTCCATGTGCTTATTTTCAGGACTGCTAATAATAAATTGAAGCACAAGATTCCTGTTTATCACGATAGCCTGGAAAAGCTGGTCTTAAGTGTATACATACAGCATGTAACCAAACAGTGATGTTTTTCTAGGTCTGGATCCCAGATATTGAAATTAAAATATGGTGCTATGGAATAGATGTCCTACATGGCAAGTAATTATATAAAAAGTGGTTTTGATTATGAAAAAGGAAACTTTTTACAGAAATGAGGAAATTACAGTTAGCATTCAGGCTGTTGCTTAGGGCCTGACTTCAGGTACCTTATTCAAGCTCTTCTTATTTACAGCCTGTGCTCTTCTATTCTAACTCTGTGTGCGTTATGAAGCTAATCCTGATTAAATTTTTCTCCAAACTGTTTCACAATGCAACTGGGAGTGGAGTGAGGAGAACTTTTGATCATCAGTCTGATCCAAATTACTAGAAATGTGCATATGACCCCCAAACTTATGTGTGCTCAGAGGCAAAGCACATTTGAACAAAAGGGAAGCCAGGTCTGACCAACGAGGAAACACTGGTCTTCCTAGGATTGAATATTTCTGTCTCAAAAGACACAGTAAACTCCAGTCTGGCACTTGCCTAGTATCTTCTTGGTTTTGCTCACAGCTGGCAGTGCTATTCATACTCACACTCTACAGTTAACCCAGTGAACGTTCATTCTCCTTCCCTTCAACACCAGTAACAACAATTACAGAAAGGTCTCTCTGTCACACAGGTGATGGCCAAGGGAGGCATTATGTTAGCAGACACCCATGATCTGACTGTGAATCCTGGAGAGGGTAAGCAGAACTATGCACTTTCAGCATCTCTGATGATAATTTGGGGGCAGGAGGAATGTAGAGAAATTATTTCAATTTAAGCATTTAATGTTTGAATTGAAATGCATTCTGAAAATTAAATCTTTTTAAATGAAGTGGCTTGAGCTAGTTTTGTTTTCTCTGAGTTCTGTCAGGTGCTAATTTTTTGACCAGAAAACTTTATAAAATTCAGCAAAAAATCTGTCCTTTTTTCCTCAAACCAACACTTTCTGCTGACCACTCCATCCTATTCAGATTGTGGATGTTTACCAGTGTTGTGAGACTCACAGGTACAGTGAGCAAGAAGAAGAACTTGTCTTTTCTTTCTCTCTCTGATTTTCCTTCTTTTTTTTTAGTGTTGATTCTCCCTTATAAGCATGCAAACACATACATACTTATATTCTAACCAATACATTTAATTTTATTCATATAAATGTCCAAGGATTACACATTTTGGTAACTGAGGCTGGCTATGATACATCTTTAAAAGTCTTTCAACAATGAGACTAGGGAGACATTTTGGAAGTCTGTGAGAAGAAGTTGTGCTGCAGTGGATATAAACAGTATATGGAAGTAAAAGATCATGTGTGCTACATGTTCATAGAAAGTCCTGTATGCTCACTAGTAGTAGTGACTAAACTAACACCCTGGCTCATAACAAGAGATGTTCTATCACCTTTGTCCAGACTGTGACATGAAGCTTAGGCCCAGCTAGAAAGATTCTTTAAACAGAGGGGCATTTTCCACTGTGGTTGGAGCAACACTTTGGTGTTCCAGCTAAATGCTTGCTTAGCAATAACTTCTGAAAGTTATTCTTTCAACCACTCTGCAATCTTGACTGCTGCCACCCATTACAACAGTCCCTTATTTCTTCATTTTTGTCCCTCATCTCTTTTTTGTAGACTGCAGAATATCTTGGAGCTTGAGGAAGAATGGGGTTGGGAACAGTAGGAAATTATGCCAGATGTTAACTGGAGAGAATCTAGAAGGCATGTTGAGGCCAACCGAACTCCTCCCATTTGGCTCTTATATGATCACTGTTTGAATGCAGGTGTCTTCAGCAGCAACAGCCATAGACTTTAGTCATGTATCAGTATTCCTGGCCCTGCTAACAAAAAGCATTCAGTATGAGTGAACTTGAGTTTTTTATCTGGGGAAAGCAAATGCATGTACTGGAACTTCTTGTATGTTGCTTAGCCTCTTTTCTCTCTGTTAGCTTATGGGACGTTTCAGTTGACCTTCCCTGTTGAGGCAGCAATTGCTCCCCTGGCACGGATGCTTGTGTACACCACTTCACCCAGTGGGGAAGTCATCGCCAGTTCAGCAGATTTCCAGGTTGAAAGTTGCCTCCCCAATAAAGTGAGTATATATTTATGCAAACCATGTTTGTCTCGTGGCCAGTAGTTCACTTATCAGTTCCAGAAGGGAAGCAGAATTCACAACAGGTTCATTAAATGGTCTGACCAGATGCTGACTGAGGATTGGTCACTGAAACTCCAGAAGAAGTTACAAAGCCATAACTGTAAGAAAGTGGAGCGGGACAGAGTAAGAAAGAGAACCACTGGTCATTATTAATGACACTGGTCAAAGCTGAATATATATTAGAAGAGCTGCAAGGCACAAGCAGAGCTCAGTTGACAAGGCTAGATGCTTCAGTATAATAGCATGTAACAGCACCTGGAAAAGGGGCTGCTTTAACTTCCTTTTGGGGTTGCAGGTCAGACTGAGTTTTGCACCCAAGGAAGGTCTTCCTGCCTCCAACACACGCCTGCAACTCCATACCACACCAAGGTCCCTGTGCGCCCTCCGTGCTGTGGACAAGAGCGTGCTCCTCATGAAGCCTGAAGATGAGCTCTCTCCCAGCTCTGTAAGTCTGCATTATTTCTGGTAATGAGAACTAGCTCTTCAACTACAATTAACACCACTGTGGACATGGGGCCATGTGTTTTTATAGCTGCATTCACTACACTTGTGTTTTAGAAGCTGGCTTTTAACAAAGGAGTGTTAAGTAGTGTCTGTGTCCCTGTAAGTGCTGACCTGCCACACTTTTGCCTGTTTGTTTGCATTTCCCCAGGTGTATGATCTTCTCCCACTGAAGGAAATCCGGGGCTATAGCTTCAAGGACTACTACCTGGAAGAAGACAATGTAAACCCTTGTGTGTCACTTGACAACAGGTTATTAAATGGATTCATCTACGTACCCATTTCTCCTGATGGCGAAGGTGATGCCTATGACATTCTCAAAGTAAGCTCCAGTCTTTTATTTTAATTTGTTATTCCTTTTCAGCATACAGTCTCCTCTCCTCTTCTCCCCTCTCCTGAAGGGCTTTTTAGTGAACTTTGCTTTGAGCTTGCTGACTTTGTGTGCAAGATAGTAAACAGTCTCAGGCCCTGCATCTGTGTAGCCCATCATTGGTACCCGAGTGCTTCTCTGAGCCATTAAAACTTTGAAGGGTCTCCTCATTGCTAGTAGAGATAGCTGTGAATGGGCTTAAGTAAAGAAACAGTGCTCAGAAGTGACTCCTGGTACAGTAATATTAGAAACTCTTCCCCAGTAGCGCATGTTCTCTCTCTATCGGGTGTAGATAGGTATTTAATAAAGTGTCAGTTACTTTGATAACCCACAAACTCACCTATACCCATCTAGAGAGTCCTCCACAAGACTTTTTGGGTACGCTCAGTCTAACACTTACCACACATGTCATTTTCACTCAGGCGGATGTCCTCAAGGTAGACCTGTGGCCTTAGCATTCCATCTGATCATGCCACGATTTAGCCTTAGGATGAGTATAACATGATAAAACCTCAACATGTGGGTTGAACCAATCTATCTGGCACTTATATACAGGCCTTTATTATTATGATTGATACCAGACATAAGTACATCTATTCTTGACATACTAAAAATAGTTTATTTTCAAAACTGTATTTCCATATTTTTTGCTCTTCTTTTTCTTTGTTTACTAGGAATTGGGCTTAAAAGTCTTCACTAGCACCAAGATCCATAAGCCTGAAGTCTGCCAGCATTACCCAGGACACACGATGGAAAGGAGTTACGGTAGTTCTAGTATGAATATGTGCTTCATTTTACCTCCCACACAACTACCTAAAATTTACCGCCCTGCTTCTTTCCTTCCCTCTACTTCTTTGAATATTAATTACACCAGGCAGACCAGAGTTTCTTGTCAGATAATACTGACCTAATTCAGGATCACTCCCTTCCAGCCTCAGTCCTGAAATATGAAACTGATTCACCTCTGTCTGCTTATCCCCAGCTGGACAGATGTGCCTGGCTGGAACTGTGTGTGCTCTCTGACTCCAGTGACAGCCCCTACAGCAGGGATCCTGTAGGCACTGAGACGGTCTGCCTGCATTGGATGCACTGGGCCAGTACAAAGTAGTGGCTGTTTTCCATCAGATCCGAGCTATGGAAACCTAAAAAAGAAGTCTTTACTTCTACGTAGTCACATTCTAGCAATAACTAGAGGAACAGCTAGGGCAAAACTGGGCCAAGATAAACGAGAAGGTGGTACAGTTCTGTGGGTAGATATTTTACCACTGGGGGCTGAGAAATGTGGTTCTGTTCCCAGCTCTCCCACTCCCATGACTGTAAGAGGCTGGGTAGGTCACGTCACTTCTCTGCAACTTCAGTGATTATGAACATCGCATAGTGATATTAATTTTTTTTTTCTGAATAGTTCTGAGATTAGAAAGACTATATAAAACACTCTCACCTGTATCACTTCCAGTCATTGACTTTTCTGGTGCAGTATCCCAGCTTCTACTGAAAAATGACAGGTTTTGATCTGGTGATAGCTTCTAGCCCTCTATTCATAACAGATCAGGTCTTTGGTTTTGAAATGCAGGATTTGTCTTCGAAGCATAGCCTGAGACAACTGGCGGCTTTGGGAAGATATAACATCTTCTCAGGCTGATGGAAAACCTTTCATAAAGCAAGACACTATGCAACACTGTGAGAAAGCATCTCCCTGTTCTGGAACCATTTGCTTGCTAACGGCCAGAGATGTCAAGACCTATATTCATCTCAAAAGAATCTTAGAGGAGGGGAGGGCCAGGTGTAGCTTGTGTTTCTGGTCATGTATAAATACAATCAATTCTTCAAGTGAATTTAATAAACTGCGTGCAACAGTAATATCTGGAGGCAGTAAATTCCACATTTGACTCTGTGTTGCAATATAAATGTAGCCTCAATAACATCATCATCATTGGCTCTTTTGGCACTGCTGGCTTTGCTGGCAGTCAGGGACGAGTGCTCAACCGCATCATATCTCTGTAAGAAGAGCAGCAACATCAGGAAAGATTAAATACTGAGATGGCAACAGAGAAACACATTTGTTTCCACTAGCCAAGGTTTCAAAGCTGTTCTTCCAATTTTAAAATTTTAGCTAAGAATAACCACTACCTGGAAGGAGAGTATCCTCCTGATTTAGAATAGAGTTTGACAGGTCTTTTCCTATCTTTCTGTCCTTGAACAAATTTTCTAGTCACTGCACTGAGTCTGCTTGAAAATTTGGACTATGAAATAACGGATCATATGGATGCTGGCAATCCTGTGGCGACCATCCGGAAGTACTTCCCTGAGACATGGATCTGGGACATAGTTTCAGTGAAGTAAGTGTTCATGGGAATGTAGAGTGTGGTCACTGGTTCAAAAACTTGGAAGATATTTAAGCCTCGATGGAATAATAGTATTTCAGTGACAGGGGTATTTCTAGTACACAGAGGGATTTTTCAGGGTCACTAAGTCTAGGATACTTTGGGAGAACATGCAAAAGCCAGTGCCCATATCCCAACTGGTCAGGAGTTTTCTGTCAGCTGGTGTTGTTCAGTAGGCTGAGAAAAACACAGATGATCACCAGAATATAACTGAAGTCTTGTTCTCCATGCCTCACCAGCTCTGAGGGAAATGCTGATCTAGATGTGACCATCCCTGACACCATCACCGAGTGGAAAGCCAATGCCTTCTGCACTTCGGCAGACACGGGCTTTGGCCTGTCCCCGACAGTGTCCCTCAGAGCCTTCCAGCCCTTCTTTGTAGAGCTCACATTGCCCTACTCTGTGGTGCGTGGGGAGGCCTTCACGCTGAAAGCCACCGTTTTCAACTACCTGACCGCCTGCATCAGGGTAAGAGACATTCATGACTTTGCTCAGTCTGACAGCTTAGGGAAAACTACAAATGGCCACTTATGGTTTCCTAAGCCAGATGACTGATATCTGACTATAATTTCGTATAGGTGTACGTAAGCAGGAGTTCTTGGTGTATTTAAGGAAGGGGGAATATGTTTTTCCGACAAAGTTTTGAAAGCTGCGTTTGATTCAGGACCTAAAGCTCTGCTGCTGAGGCGCCCAGCCTTGTCATTACAGATGTATATCATTGTCCTATAGAAATTTGAAACTTGAGTTATTCACAGACCACAGCATCATTGCATACCCACATGGAAACTCCAGGTTCACCAGGGTGGATATCTGTGTTCAGCCTTTAATCTCATCTCGTATAAACATCTCATAAAGTATCACACCAGATTTGCTGGAATATGCAGACTTCGTGTGATTTATTACATCTGCCCCGAAGACACAAGCAGAGCTATATAGCTTCACTATTCTTATCCAGATTCTTTCACCAACAAAAAGACAAGAGAGAATCTGGGAGGTGATTCGAACAAAATGTCAATCACCTGTGCTCAGTTTTTTTATAAATACCTATTTTTGTTCTAAAAGGAATGAAGCTGAAACAAGGAGGAGTGTTGATCCAGCCATTCCAATGCACTCTCATTCATTTCCCTGTCTTTCCTGTTTTGTTTGCTATTTTCAGGTTCCTTATTCCACTCTCTCTTGTTCCCTTACTAGCTCTCCCACTGCTAGTGTTTTACCTCTTCTCCTAACTAATGGTGAGAGGGGTCTTTAATTCATGGCTAAGTTTGTAGCCACTGCTTTGCCTTTACACACACAACTGGGTCATGCTCTCCATTTTCCCAGAATCGGTTTCCTTCCCAAAGACACACATCTTGTTCTCTACATTTACCTCCCTAATCTCTTACAGTTGTACACATCTCAGTCTTTTCCCACTTTATCACCCAGTCATTGCTCTGCAATACCCGTAAGTTTCTCAGTCCCACAGTATAGCCAGCTCCACTACCCATTTCCACGTAGTGTGCTGACTCCAGTAACCCCAGCTTCTCTGCAATTCCAAACTTCATGACGCCTCTTTGTACAACCGGCAGGTCAGCGTGTCTCTGGCTGAATCTACTCATTTCCTGGCTACACCAGTAGAGAAGCAGGAAGAATCCTACTGCATCTGCACAAATGAAAGGAAAACTGTGGCTTGGGCAGTAACGCCAAGATCTCTAGGTAAGAGACTGGGCAAAACCAAAATGCTGGGATCAGATATCTGTGGGTGACATCAGACCTTTGGTGTGAGGAGCTGGGTGACTCCAAACCTGTCTGGAAGAACCTTGTCTATGCCAGAAGTGAGAAATCCAACACTGAGGTTGAGACGCTACGCTGGGATGCAGTTTCCAGGTCCTAAACAATTTCAGTGTTATGGGCCATTGTTTTCTTAACATCTGAAATCACAGATTCCTTTAAGGCATGCAAAGCACTCAGGCATTTTGGTTGCGGAGCTGAGAATGTCGTATCTTAATGTGGCTAAGTTTGAAATATTTTAATCAAAGCTTGCTTTCTCTGAAGCCTCTCAGAACAAGCCTGTTTGATTTACAAGACCTGCCCCTCCTCTACTCTTCTTGCTGATGGACCAACACCTGCTCAGGTGGCCATCATGAAGGAGGTGGCCTGGAAGGCTGCAGATGGATCAAGAGAAAACACTGTCTCGAGTTTAGTTCTCTTCTTGGAAAACCTTCTCTGTAATGCACCAGAGAGTGCCCAGCACAAACACAAACCCATGTTTCCCTGGCTCTGCCCAGCAGGGCTGGCTGACCCCTGTTTCCTCCAGGGCAGGTGGAGTTCTCAGTGAGCACTGAGGCCCTGCAGGACCAGCAGCCCTGCGGGAACACCATCGTGGAGACCCCTGAGAAAGGGCGGAAGGACACGGTCATCAGGCAGCTGCTGGTGGAGGTATGTGGGCTGCTGAGTTTGCTGGCACAGAAAAGTAATAATAATAATTTCATGCTCCACAGCAACAGTTGCTGTATGATAAAGGTTTTCCATTTTAGCCATGATAGTAGCAATAATGGCTTGTGTGTCTCTATTTGCATGCTTTTATAGAAGAAGCATTGATAAATCTCACACAGGCCAAGAGAGCCCATAACTCATAAGGTTTCTGTCTCTTAGTAAAAACAGGGTATTACATTACACAGTGGGACAGAAATAATAAGGCAGGCAATAATGACAGTTTTGTCCCAGACACATCATTGGGGAGATAAATGAGAACTCCTTGGTTTTACCTGTAATAAATCACAGGGAAAGGTCGTAAATGGAAGACTTGCCAGAAACCTTCTGCGTCTCCTCCAGCACATGTCCAGTACTCTGGAATATGGAACAGTCACCACAATCTACAAATATTTCCAAACAAAACTAACATCATTGTTTTGAATTGTTCTTATTACACTTTTAAGAGTGTTTGAAACAGTATGAACTTTTTATTTTTGCATTCTTTTATACATTTTTTTTCTTAAGCAGTGTTTCACAATGATAAAACCACAGCTTTTCCCATGATAAATAGCCACTCATAAAATTAATCCACAGTATAAGACTCCTTGTGATATTAATAGCACAGATTACGAGCTTGTTGTATAGTGAAATTTATATAATATCACATGTCATAATATTGTCAATCTTACGCATGACAGGTAGGTATAATGAAATTTAACAAAAATAAGTCAGGAGGAATATATATCATTGCAACTCCTCCTTACTTTGCAGACATTCCAATTTTCAGTAAGGCAGAGCTAGGATTCGTGTAATATGTAACTTCAGAAAATGTTTTGCTAACCTGAATGTAATGATGGAACAACAATCCATCATGTTAGGCTGCTCTTATTTTCCTATTTATTTCTCTTACTTATAAATTAAACTGATGTCATAGTGCATTTCATGTATCAGGGCACAAATAACTGTTTAATATTTCAGAAAAACTTCCTAATTTCATATATTCCTTCAAAAAAAGGGTGTTTATTTTGTTCTTTGAAGATACTGGAAGCTCAGAACTGTAAAGTCTTTTCTCCCTGGTGGCGGGGGAGTGAAAATAACTGAATGAGCATTAAAATTGCTTCTGTCAGGGTGTCTGGGAGATTACTGGTCTTATGCTGTTATTGTAATGAGGTAATTAATCTACAGCAAGCCCTGACTGGATAGAATCAGAGATTAGCGTCCAGGGCTGAACAATTAATTAGCGGGGGTGGATACCGTGTAACTTGCTTGGGGTGGAGCTGCCTTGTCCCAAACGCATGGAAGTCCGGATCCCGGGCACAGGCAGTGTGTCCCGGGGAGAGAGGAGGGGTGTGCCAGAGCCCCTGCGCGTCCTCTTGCCCCTCCGGAAACCCAGCCTTGCTCAGGGCTTGTTGGGAAACAGGATGTGTTTTTTCACCCAGGAATTTCTCAGCTGGAAGGGAAAATCTTTCAAATAGTTACAGTTCTAATTTCCTGTTGCAATGTTCAAAATCAAACAAACGAAACAATGGATTTCTCATGTAATTGCATTTCGGAATGACATACTGAAGCAAACAAGAAGGTGCCTTTTCAAGAATGTCGTATCTTAATGTGGCTAAGTTTGAAATATTTTAATCAAAGCTTGCTTTCTCTGAAGCCTCTCAGAACAAGCCTGTTTGATTTACAAGACCTGCCCCTCCTCTACTCTTCTTGCTGATGGACCAACACCTGCTCAGGTGGCCATCATGAAGGAGGTGGCCTGGAAGGCTGCAGATGGATCAAGAGAAAACACTGTCTCGAGTTTAGTTCTCTTCTTGGAAAACCTTCTCTGTAATGCACCAGAGAGTGCCCAGCACAAACACAAACCCATGTTTCCCTGGCTCTGCCCAGCAGGGCTGGCTGACCCCTGTTTCCTCCAGGGCAGGTGGAGTTCTCAGTGAGCACTGAGGCCCTGCAGGACCAGCAGCCCTGCGGGAACACCATCGTGGAGACCCCTGAGAAAGGGCGGAAGGACACGGTCATCAGGCAGCTGCTGGTGGAGGTATGTGGGCTGCTGAGTTTGCTGGCACAGAAAAGTAATAATAATAATTTCATGCTCCACAGCAACAGTTGCTGTATGATAAAGGTTTTCCATTTTAGCCATGATAGTAGCAATAATGGCTTGTGTGACTCTAATTCTGCATGCTTTTATAGAAGAAGCATTGATAAATCTCACACAGGCCAAGAGAGCCCATAACTCATAAGGTTTCTGTCTCTTAGTAAAAACAGGGTATTACATTACACAGTGGGACAGAAATAATAAGGCAGGCAATAATGACAGGTTTGTCCCAGACACATCATTGGGGAGATAAATGAGAACTCCTTGGTTTTACCTGTAATAAATCACAGGGAAAGGTCGTAAATGGAAGACTTGCCAGAAACCTTCTGCGTCTCCTCCAGCACATGTCCAGTACTCTGGAATATGGAACAGTCACCACAATCTACAAATATTTCCAAACAAAACTAACATCATTGTTTTGAATTGTTCTTATTACACTTTTAAGAGTGTTTGAAACAGTATGAACTTTTTATTTTTGCATTCTTTTATACATTTTTTTTCTTAAGCAGTGTTTCACAATGATAAAACCACAGCTTTTCCCATGATAAATAGCCACTCATAAAATTAATCCACAGTATAAGACTCCCTGTGATATTAATAGCACAGATTACGAGCTTGTTGTATAGTGAAATTTATATAATATCACATGTCATAATATTGTCAATCTTACGCATGACAGGTAGGTATAATGATATTTAACAAAATTAAGTCAGGAGGAATATATATCATTGCAACTCCTCCTTACTTTGCAGACATTCCAATTTTCAGTAAGGCAGAGCTAGGATTCGTGTAATATGTAACTTCAGAAAATGTTTTGCTAACCTGAATGTAATGATGGAACAACAATCCATCATGTTAGGCTGCTCTTATTTTCCTATTTATTTCTCTTACTTATAAATTAAACTGATGTCATAGTGCATTTCATGTATCAGGGCACAAATAACTGTTTAATATTTCAGAAAAACTTCCTAATTTCATATATTCCTTCAAAAAAAGGGTGTTTATTTTGTTCTTTGAAGATACTGGAAGCTCAGAACTGTAAAGTCTTTTCTCCCTGGTGGCGGGGGAGTGAAAATAACTGAATGAGCATTAAAATTGCTTCTGTCAGGGTGTCTGGGAGATTACTGGTCTTATGCTGTTATTGTAATGAGGTAATTAATCTACAGCAAGCCCTGACTGGATAGAATCAGAGATTAGCGTCCAGGGCTGAACAATTAATTAGCGGGGGTGGATACCGTGTAACTTGCTTGGGGTGGAGCTGCCTTGTCCCAAACGCATGGAAGTCCGGATCCCGGGCACAGGCAGTGTGTCCCGGGGAGAGAGGAGGGGTGTGCCAGAGCCCCTGCGCGTCCTCTTGCCCCTCCGGAAACCCAGCCTTGCTCAGGGCTTGTTGGGAAACAGGATGTGTTTTTTCACCCAGGAATTTCTCAGCTGGAAGGGAAAATCTTTCAAATAGTTACAGTTCTAATTTCCTGTTGCAATGTTCAAAATCAAACAAACGAAACAATGGATTTCTCATGTAATTGCATTTCGGAATGACATACTGAAGCAAACAAGAAGGTGCCTTTTCAAACAGAAGCGTTTAGCTCTGTCGTAGCTTATCCTAAAAGCTTTTCCTTATTTCTTTTTTTTTTCCCCTACTCTTTTATTCTTTCTCTGTCTTTTCATACCGAAGAATGAGAGACAATGTATTTTAACTGTGTGAGAAAGTGAAGGTAATACCATTGTTTACATGCTGGAAAAAATTTTCAGCTGGCAGAAGTTGGGAACCAGTAATGAAGCAATGGGAGCTCTCCTATTAGGAGGTTAAAAAAAAATTGATGCAGGGATCTCACTGATATAATCTCTAGCAAAATATGTTTTCTATTTGATTCCCGCGTTTTATGCAGAATGTTTTCGACCAGCTCAACAGAAAACAGGACTGCTCTGCTTACTTCAAAAATTAGGCTAGAAATTTTTGAAACAGAGGGATACAATCACCCGTTCATGTATTTAAATTTTGGGTGTTCTAGTGTGTCACTTGTGGGTGCCTTGGAGTGCTCTAGTTGCCACCCGCCAAAGCTCTCGCACTCATACCCTACCGGTGTCCCAGGCACTCAGCCGTCACCGCAGCCTGATGAGTTCTGCTCGACTGGGCCAAGGTGGGAAGCGCCTTGGAAGACAGAGCCTCAGGGCTTTATTAGCACTCTCGGTAACATCATCTCGCATGTTATCTGCATTGCAACCTGCGAGGCTGCAGGGCCTCTCTCAGGAATAAGAAGGGAAAGAACATGTATTACGTTTCGTGTTTGTAATTAGCCAGTATGTAATAGTCCTCAATTATTCTCAATTTAGCACACGGAGGAAAAAACTTTGTAAGCAATTTCTAAAGACTTTTCAGTATAATTAAGTTATTACCACAGGAGAATTTATAAGTGTTTAATTTTCTTAGACTCCCTTTCAGTTTCCCTCTTGATATTTCTTGCTTTTCTTTTTTGTCGTTGTTTCTCATTTTTTGATTTTTTCTCGTTTTTTTCCCCAAGCCGGAAGGGACTGAGGTGGAAACCACCTACAACTCTGTGCTCTGTGCATCTGGTAAGAGTCTTTTGCTTTGTAAGACTTTCTTTGCTGAGGTAGAAACTAGAAACAAAGGGAGAAGACAAGATGTGCAAATGCTCTACTCGGAGAAGAGAGGCGTAGGGATCTGACAAAATTGAACAAACTAGATGTATCTCCAACTGGCAGCGAATCTAATACCCACTAAATGAGAAGAGCTGAGGCTGTAATAGTGCCTGCAATTGCAGAGGCAGAAGCGTATCTCTTAGGAACTGAGGCTGGCCAAGTCCCTGCAGGGAGAGCATATCTGGGATTTAACAGGGTTATCCCTAACATCTTTCATGCAATGGCTGTAAAATCACAAACCAGCCTCTGCAGTAAGCCATGTCTGATCACCGAAACAGAAGAGGCCAGCAGAATAGGCTGGAAAGTGCATTTGTCAGTCAAGGGCAGCTGATAAAGCCATGCAGAAGCCCATGACAGTCTGTGTGTGAGGGTATTGTAGGCCCCACACAAAATTTGCTGGATGGGAAGCTTCCACAACAAAATTACAGAGGAATGGATTTGTTGAAGGCAGGAAACCCCTGTGCAGGGGATGGTGTCTCACCCTCTTAGCTGATACCCATGCACATAGTTATATTTGGAATTGTAACCAAACTGATCTGGTTTTTTTATCCCAGAAGAGTCAATGTCAGAGCCAGTTTCCCTGGTTCTCCCAGAGACTGTGGTGGATGGCTCAGCCAGGGCATATTTCTCAGTGCTAGGTAAGTGAAGCATTCTTAAAGTGTCACATGCTGTTTTGAGACACTACCAGGTTTCCTCAGGCTGTGCTCAGTCTACTGGAAAGCCGCCTGAACTGTGCTAATTTACACTGGAGATTGTCCTGTTCCCCAGGAGACATCATGGGCACTGCCATGCAGAACCTGCACCAGCTCCTCCAGATGCCCTTCGGCTGTGGGGAGCAGAACATGGTCCTGTTTGCACCCAACATCTACGTTCTGGACTATCTGAACAAGACAGGGCAGCTGAGTGAGGAGGTCAAATCCAAGGCCATCGGATACTTAGTGACCGGTGAGCTGGGACATGGCTTTTGCTTCTCTGTTCATTCCTTCTCTTGGCAACTGGATAAGGACACTACTGGCCACTGGCATGTATGATCTGGGGGAGGTTGCCCTGGTGCATTAAGGGACCATGTGGTAGGTCAGGTGCATATAATACAATACCTGTAAGAGGGAGAATCCTGCACTCACGTGGAGGTGGAGGATGAGAAAGGTTGGCACCCAAACAGGAACACAGGAAAAGTCCAGGACTGGCAATAACTCAGAGCTCTTTCTGTAAGAAAAGGGATATATGAAATACATACATCGGGCTCCAACCATTAAACATGGCAGCTGCTTATGTAGATCTCAGTTCTTCCTTGGGATTAGGATTTAGAAAATGTCACTCACCTTTGTCTGGGCCAGAATTTTCACACACTAGCTAGGACATGTTGGCAGACATAACACCAGTACACACGGAAAGGGTGGGTATCTGCTGGCTATCAAGGGACTGTTTTTATTCAGTTGTTTCACCGAAAAATTGCACTTCCTCCAGTGAAAATTATCCTGTTTTCTGCATCCCTATCCTGAATGGGGCTCACCTTTGTATTCAGTTCTCCTCTGGGAACGGTTTTTCCGTTTGTCTCAAGTCTGGGATACATTTACTTCTCCTCATCAAGTCCAGGGCAGAGAGCGGCAATGACCGCAGATATCCAGCCTGCAGGCGTTTTAGGAGAGAGGAAGAGCACAAGGATGGAGGTACTCGGAGCTGTGGGTTTGCCTGAACTTCCATCGTAACACCGAGCAGCGTAGCTCACACTCTTGCTCTTAGAAGGGGGACACTGTGTCCCATGTCTGCTACAGTTCCTTTGCATGGCTCCTTGAAAAGTACTATGACAAATAAAATATTCTTCCACTCTCTGTTTCAGGGTACCAAAGGCAACTGAACTACAAACACTGGGATGGTTCTTATAGCACCTTTGGGCCCCATTCTGGGCAAGTTGGGAATACCTGGTAAGACTTCAGTACCACTGGCTTTTTGTTTCTGCATTTCACGCCCTCCCTTTCCTCAGTGTTCTCTTGTGGTTGGTCATTGTGGAGGTTGAAATGGAGGTGGAGATGAAATGACAATCATGGCATCTCAGGATATTCAAGCAGGATAACGGAGCAGGGAAGGATGCTAAGGGAGCTGCCTTTTAGGTCTGCAATGCTGCACTGATAGCTGCTTACCTCCCCTGGCACCATTCTTCAGCTCAAGTGAGGGTGATCTGCAGTATGTCCTAGCTAGTTGCTGTTAGCAGAAGATGCTGATGATTCCCCATTTCCCACCTACCCACAGTCCCCAGGGCTATGAATGACAGGCTCTGTTCACCATCAGTCCCTGTCTCACCGGGTCACTAAGCCAGCTAACAGCTTCCAACCAGCCCTCTGAGAACAAGTCCTGTAGCCTCTACTGCTTTCTTCCAGAACAGTGATGCCCACATGGGCCCTGTGACCTACGATAGATACAGGGCCTGCTCAGGATATCTCAGTTTCCTCTGTCACTTTCAGGCTCACAGCCTTTGTCCTCAAGTCCTTTGCCCAGGCCCGGCCTCACATCTTCATAGACGAGAAGCATATCCAGGATGCTTTGATCTGGCTCACTCAAAAGCAGAAGGAGAACGGCTGTTTCCGCAGTTCTGGGACGCTCCTGAACAATGCCATGAAGGTAACGTCTGCCTGGTTGGCTCCACATGGGCTTTGTCAGGCTGGAACTTGACCTTAAGTCACTCTGGGACCAACAGAACTCTTTCAGCACTTGGGGTCTGGGGAGGAGGGGGAGTTAAATATTTAAGCTACCACAGAAGCAGGAAGAAGCCAGCAGCAGCTTCTGAAGGACTTAGCAGGGGAAGGAGGCTGGGAAGAGTTTGTCACTGCAGGACGTAGCTATGTCCACAGGCATAAGCCAGTGGTGCTGGGTGGGATCAACACCTACTTTTGTGGTTCCCTGCAGGGTGGAGTGAATGACGAGATCACGCTGACAGCCTACATCGTTATTACATTCCTGGAGATTCCTCTGCCTGTAACCGTATGTGTCTGCACCCCAGCCTGAGCCACAGATGGCACTAACCTGCCCTATTAGTGTCCCCTAGCTTATCAGGTCCCTTTACCTTTTGAAAGAAGAAATCCTGTCTGAACATCCTTTCCATTCAAGCCTAGACTGAAATAACGTTTTTCCTCCATTTTCCTCCCCTGTCCAATCCTGTCTCCCTTGTATACATTTCATTTAATATTTTTCTGAGTTCTTTTGTGGAGAATCAAGCTTTTGCTCCTTTAAAAGAGTACAGCTTGGATTAACGGTGAGTTAAATAACATTTAAATCTTTGAAATGAGCCAGATAGGTTTTCTACACCCACAAAATCTCCTTTTGTTTGTTGGAATAGTACATTCTGGTTGAACCACTTGTATGGGCCTATTGTGTCGGCACAACAGCACAGGTCTGTAGAAAAAGGTGGCACGCTCAGGGATCCATTCTCATTTTCTCTGCCTCTTCTAGACTGTTTTACTGGAAATCCCCATCCTCCATGCTTGGGGAATAAGGTATTCCTATAGGGGATACCATAAACAGTAGTCTTTGAAAAGCCTAAGGCCTATTTAAAAGCAATGTGGGTTTGGGCATTCTGATCCCTGAGCCTGTGATCCCCTCACTGTGAGACAAGCCTCTGGCACAGGTAAAACTGGGCTGTGAGTTGCAGCAGGAGGACTGCTGACCTAGAATGGTTGCCAGGCTGCCGTAATCTCTTTATAGTAGGGGCTATTTTGTGTTGAAAGTTTTTTCCTGTACAAGTCAGAACCAGCAGGAAGAATTATTTTGTCAGTAGGGTGGCACAGATGACATTAACTTCACCAGAATAATATACTTTCTTCAGTATGTGTTGTGTTCAGACAGCAAGTTCTCAGGCAGAACTGTATTGGATAACAAGGACATTTTTCATCTCCCTCTCTGAGCCTAAAAGTGCCACTGAACGTCAAGGGATTTGTCAGAATCTGATTGCGATATGGATGCATTTCAGGTTAAGCTGCATGAACTCCTGAGCACAGCATAGCACAGCCCTTAGGTATTTGATGCTATTGGCAAGCACGCAGATTATTTCTGTAAGTAAAATAAGCCATATTAGCCCCCTCATAAAAAATTTATTAGTACTGTCCTGAGCATGTGTGTTGACTGCCATGTCCTGTCATTAGACTGAACTCCCCCCCCCAAGACGGACCTTACAAACAGTAGTAAGCGTAGGAAACCTTAGGTGAGGCACAGACACTACCAATTTTGGGTTTGTTCTTTGCTTTCTCAAAAGCAGCTGAACTGCTTCTCCAGAAGCAACCACAAAAGATTTCGTCTTCCAGCAGACACCCACTGAAGGCAAAGTACAAAGCCACTGAAAAATAAGTCTTTTCCTTCTAGACCGTTGATCAAGCTGTAAGTGCGCTGTCAGGCCTCAGATTATGGCATGCCCCCCCTGCAGTGTTACTGCTTCAGTTTTATAGCAGTTTTTTCCATCACAAATGAGGAACAGTCATGTGTCTTGCTGAAAGGTCGTGGTGTCACATTGTCTGTTACTTAACGCTCTGTAAAGGAGCTGCATTTTGCATTGCTGTAGTGATTGCACCCTTGAAACATACTTGAGATTCTGGCTTCAAAAACACATGCATTGCTGATGTTACCACGTCACAAAACATGTTCCAGAAAATAGAATAAAAGATAGTCTTTCTTGTGCAAGAAATAAATTTTACCTCCAAACTAGAAGCTATGTTATCAGGTGTATAAATAGCACAATAAAATTTTGTTCAGAAGACCCTGGAAAAGGGGAGGTAAATAACAAAAAGGAAAAGATAGAGCAGAGAGTGAAAGCACAGACCAGTCTCAGGGTGATAGCTAGAGGAGGAAAGAAAGTATCCTCCCCTTGCCCCGAGACACAATCAGGCCAGTAATTCTTCCCAAGGCAGAAGGACTGGATCCCTGCTTCACAGTCTTTAAATCCAACTGGGATACAACACTACAATGAAATGTATCAAGGAAAAGCAGGTACAAGATAACGAACAGCGTTTGGCTGCCATGCTCTCCAGGGAGCACTGGACCTGGAAGAGAAGGGATACACAATGGTACAAACCTCATCAGACAGGGGAGTGAGGATATCAAGGCTCCATAGGTACCATCTCATTCCTGTTGTTGAAGCAACATTGAAGATGGACCTCAGTGGGAGCTCTGGCTGCTCCAGTTGAGTTTCTGTCTCTCCTCAGCACTCAGTGGTGCGTAACGCTCTGTTCTGCCTG